AAAAACATAAATGATGAACTTTTGAATGGACTGAGCTCGAAAGTTTGTCTTTGATAAAAGCTTGAGCCAGAATTCACACACATTGACTTCACAGGACTGCAGTGTTATTAATTGGAAGCATTTTGTCCTTTGAGGCTTGTCCCGTCGCACTGACAGACAGAGACTTTGTTTGAGAGAGACTAGAAGACTAGAAGAGTAATTATGTTGGAGTGCCCATCTGCAGAGTGACAGCTTATATCTGCAGTGGAGCAGCAGCTCTACCTCGCTACGTTCACTTCACACGCTCAGAGCTGTCCTCACCACCACCATCGCAGCGCCGAGCCGAGCCGAGCCGAAGCGAGATCCAGTCAGAGCGCAAAGCAATAGTCTCTCAAATGACTGAGTATTAAAGGCTCTCCACATGGTTTGGACTGTCTGACAGGGCAAACACATAATTGGTTTATTTTCAGCTGCTCAATCATATTCCTCACTTTCTCACACTATGTTTGCAAAGCTTAATTAGACGACAGCGAGTGAAGACTGCGAGGTAAGTAAGTAGTAACTAATTTGTAATCTAATGAACAATGAAACAAACTTCATTTCAGTCCAAGACGCTAGAGTGTCTGTCATTTAAAGTCATAACTGTTTGTGTCTTGTCTGTCTATGTTTTAAATTGGACCTAGAGTCTGTAATAAAGTTGAACTAAATGTAATCTGAAAACTGGTGTAAGGGGATGTATTATCTTTATTATTGCACCTGTTTGACCTCCAAGCCGACGTGACCTCCGAAAACGTTTCCCCTCCAGATTTCTCACCTCCTGTATAAGTGAGAATCTGAGTCTCCGGTCTCAGATTTAAAAAACATAGTTGGCATCTGGACTTGATGTCCATTAGTCAAACAATCAAAATGTAATTTTATTGCACAGTTCATACAAAATGCTACACAAATTGACTACATCCATCCATTTTCTACCCTTTAATCCTACTACTTAAGCTACTGTCGCCCTACATTTGACTACATTTAAAAGCAAAAAAAAACAAAAACAAACTTTAACCGTCCTCATCTGCCTTTTGAGACTCTCTGGCTGGAAGATGACATCTGATGTAGGGACATCTAAAAAGCCGGGATAGCGCCCCGGATGATTGTTCCAGATTTTAGGTGCAAAGGTCTGGAATTCTGCTCCCCCATGTTTAGTCCTGACTCTGGGTACCAGCAGGAAGTCCCAGTTGGTTGATATGGTACTAACAAGTACTTTTGGTGCAAAGACTTGTACACATGCAGATCTGCTTTAAAGTCTATTCTATTCTCTGAGCCACAGGAAGCGAGTGCAGAGACCTGAGCAGTACTACTGTGATCATACTTCCTGGTCCTTGTTTTTTTTTTATACACTGCAGCTGTGTGCGTCATCTACACAAGATGTGGCTGCTTCCTCTGGTTCAACTTCAGTACCTACTCGTTGTAGGGTATTACTATTTTTTATTTATTTATTTATTAAAGGGACAGTGCATATTAAAATACATTATGCATGTAAATATGCCAGAATTAGCCAAAAGGCTATTTTTCATCTGTAGTCCTACTAGCTTATAGCTGTCCCACCCATGGGATACCCAGAAAGATGTCCCATAGAATTCAATGTAAACTACAACAGCTCGACCTCAGCTTTCATAAAGATCGGATTTTTTGGAGATTTTAGTGTCCCTTGTCATCCTGAACTTAATTTTTTCTTAAAACCTTTGTTTTTTTTATAAATCCAGACTCAATGCGCGGCCAAGCCCCTCTGTGCACATGCATGAGAGCCACACACACACGTATTTGGCGCAATGCATCATGGGAGCTCGTCCACTGCACAGAACTAGGAGGACTAGACGATGTCCAAATATTAGCGAGTTCCACTAATCTTTTGGTCCCGATGTATGTCCCACGCTCTACTGAGCACAAGACATTCATTTGAAAAGGACGCCATCTTGGATCACCGAGGGTTGGGGTAGACGGAGTACAGGGAGATCATATACTGTATATTTATGCATATGTTCTGGGGGTCTATGTGAAGATACATTGATTAGTCTCAAGTTGTAGTTCACATGGGGTGGCACAAAAGGAAGATGTAGATGAATGGCAGAATCAGTGTGCGTTTAACACTAGGACCGAGCGACTGAAAATGCCTATGTTTGAATTTCACACTTAAGCCATCAACATGACTACTCATGTTGATGATATTCCAAAAATAAAAGATTATTCAATTCAAAAAAATACATATAAAAAACTACCAAAATGATCTTCATAATAATATGACAAATAAACATATACATATGCTGAGTAATTCCTTAAAAAACGCTCCCAACATCAGCT